CCCATGGCATCTTCCTGGTGCCATGAGCAGCTCCCTGGCACGCAGAACACCCCAGGTCACCCATATCCTCTGCCAAGGGGACAGCAAGTCACAGACGCACGCTTCTGCCCGAACGTCATTGTCCCCACGGGGCAGACGCCAGCAAAGCAGATGGGCCAAATCCTCTGGCACGGTGATGGCACCAGCAGGGGTGACGCCGGCGCCAGGTCAGGCAAAAACCAGGACGCCCCTTCCACTCCTGGCTGTGGCGGACTCCAGCAGGAAGGCCCCGGTCCCGTCCACCAGAACATACTGGTGGACAGACAAACCAGAGCGACGGGTGCCGGAACCACGCTGACAGACGAAACGACACACGGAGGCCCAGTGGCTGCACTGAGAGGTCCTGCAGGGGACCCCAGTCACGGCTGGCCCCGGCGCAGCACACCCGGCCCGCCCCGCCCAGCTCGGGCTGGAGGAAGAGGGCGTCGTGGGGAGGACTCGCCACTGAAGGCTGCAGGCTGCAGTCCGCTGTGCACGCAGAGAGCAGCCGAGTGCTTCCTGCAGGGGAGCTGGGGCGCTGCGCCCGCCACGCCCACATCCCCCCTCCTGGAAGCAACCCCCGCCCCCCCAGGCTGGGCTTCCCGGACTCTGGCCTCCCTCCACTGACCCCTCCCTGCCCCAGCCCCCAAGATCTAGCTCTGCAAAGGGTTTTTCTGCTGCCTCTGCCCAGGGGGCCGGCTGGGTTAGCAGTCTGCACACCGCAGCCCTGAAAGTCTGGAACTCTGAAACAGTTTCGGGAAAAGGAGGGGCAAAAAAAGGAGACTGACTACCCAAATGTCCATCGAGGGGTAGTGGGTAAACACAATGTGTCCAACCAAACGCTGGAATATCATTCGGCCATGTTATTGCTATATTATTAATAATATCCATCCCGGTATTATTCAGTGGGAGAAACCAGACACTGAAGGCCACGCCGTGTGTGATTCCACTCACGTGACATGTCCAGAACAGACACGTCCACGGAGAGCGCTGGTTCGTGGTTGCCAGGGGCTGGGGGAGGGGGCATGACAGTTTAACAGGAATAGGGCTCCTTTTGGGGTGACAAAAGTGTTCTGGAATCAGTGGTGACGGCTGCACAACTCCATAAATGTTCTAAAAATCACTCAACTGTCCACTTTAGAAGTGTGTATTTGATGGTATGTATATCTCAATAAACAACATATTTTACAAAAAAAACAGGGTAGGAGTATTTTAAGAGGGGTTGGCCTAGAAAATCTGGGGTCTGGTCAGCACGCCAGAGCGAATCGTTAAACAGCTGTCATGCTGCTCTCTCCGGTGACCTGAACGACTCAGGCCCTGCCTCGCGGACCAGACTCTAAGCTCCTTGAGGGCAGAGCTGCCGGCAAGAGACAGCGGGCCTCCCCCGGCGCCCCCGCCTCCTCCGGCTCTTCTCCACGCAGGTGTCTCAGGCCACGGCCCCCAGGGTCCTTCCCAAGTACCTCTCTTCCTCTGCTCACCAGTTCACCGTCACTCATGATGACAAGGCACAACTCAAACAGCGACTCTTCTGCTGACTTTCTGGCCACCACCTGAGTTGCCATCTGTCTCGGTGCCCCCTGGCTCTGCCGCTCCCCCCGCCGGGCTCCATCCATGGCCCTGTGACCCTGTGGGCAGGGCCACCATGAGCACCTGGCCACACGCGCACAGGCTCGGCAACAACGGTTGCACCCAACCAAATGACGACAGACAGGGCTCCGAGGCAGGTCTAAATGGCTGTGTCCCTGGGAAGCCGTAGCCCAGCCAGAACCATCCAAACCAACCACTGGTCCCCAAACCGAGACGCACGTGCGAGAGGCCTTCCTCCATTCTCAAATGTGTATCTTTGCCTCGGGGTTAAATGACATGTCTGGGGAATTTGCAGAGGCCAAGTGAGCACGCTGCCTGAGGTCTCCACGACCATCAGCCTGAACCTGCTGCAGCTCTGCCATCGGCCAACGTGCTCCGTCCGTCCGTCCGTCCGTCTGTCCATCCGCGGGCCCGGTGAGGTGGCTGGACATGCAGGAGAGCCAGTTCCTCGGTGAATGGCGCTGCCCATCGGCCTGCAGGGCAGATCAGGGCGCTGCCTTTGGTGCAGGCAGGACACGAGGCAGCCTCGGCAGCCGGCGCCATCCCGTGGCTTCTGCCCGCTGCAGCCAGGGAGGGCGGTGAAACGAGACACCTTCTTTTCCATAAGAGTGTCAGAGAACCAGCGCTCTCTACCGGCTCCCTGCTCTTCCTTGGGGGGAAGGAGTTGGCTAAAGCAACAAATCTAGAGTTTAAATTCCAGGGGCTTTACTCACATGCCAGGTAAAGACAGCGGTTCTCTCTCTAGAATCACGACCAAGAAAATCAGATCCACGCAGCCACCGACCTACGATAGGAAGCCCACTCTGCTCAGCACCGAGCCTTTCTGACAGATGGGATTTTAAGGGGCAGAATGGGGGAACAGCAGGGATTTGAAGGGTCCAGCAGGAAAATGACAGAACCTCCCAGTCCAGCTGCCCGGCCAAGGTCCGCCAAGCATCCTGTGGCGCTGAGGCGAGCCATCCCCCCGCTCACGCGGGGCGCCCAGTGAGCAGGTTGTGGGCTGTCCGCGTAGAGACGAGGTGCTGGCCATGCCGGGGTCCCGAGGCCCGGCTTAGCACACAGCCCGGTTGCACCCGCCTTATCGGGATGCCTGGCACACCCCTGTCGTCGGGCCATCACTGTGCCTGCTGGCAGCTTCGGGCTGGCTCTCGCTCAAAGGAGGCCTCCTGATCCATCCTCTTGCTTCTTGTGCACAAAGCACAATTCTGGATCCACTGCCAGCTCATCTGACACGAATCGCTTCTCTCCACGGACACTGGAGACAGTGGCCACAAACCCACGAAAGCGGGCCCGGCTCCACCACTACCTGCCCAGGAGCCATGGGTTGGGTCCGGATGCAAACACAGAAGGGAAGTGGGTGCTGGAGACGATGCTGAGCACCCACCCTTTCACGGCCAGCCATATGGGCTTGTCTTAACTGCCATCGCTGGTGCTGGCCCGCGGGGCCAAATCCCACATTGGTTATTGCTCCGTTCTGTGCCTGGAGACCCACTGAGGCAATGCAGCCCTGGACAGCTGGCTTTCGGATTATTCTTCTTTGTCCACTGAACAAACACGCTCAAGGCCTCCACCCTGGAGAGTCACAGCCCAAAAGGCACAGCCTGCCCGTGAGACAGAGATGGCTTCATGCAAACCTCATCAAACCCCTGGCACCACCAGAACCACTGGGGTGGGACGAGGAAAGAGGGGAGAGAAGGGAGCGACGGAAAGTCAGAGAAAGATCCAGACAACCCCCCCAAAAAAAAAGAAAAGACAGGCAACTTCGCTAAGCCGAGGAGTTCTCCAGGTTGTTTATTTCAATCAACTACAGAAGGCGTGACCATAAATTAACGGTGTGCTTCCTCGACAGGTCAAAACGTCCTTGGGATAGTACCAAGACCTGCGGGCTCAGAAATCACTCGTCAGCCAGTTCTTCGCTCCCAAAAGCCAAGGTGGAAGAGTGAGGCCAAGAAGGGCGGGTGGCACCGTCCCTGGGCACCCAACACACGCGTCCCACAGCCATCTCATCAGCCACTTGGCCTACAAAGCTTAAATGTCACACACACGAAAGCCACCTCTTCACAGTGCTCCCGCGCACACCACGGCTCAGAGACCCACCGACAGCGCCTCCCAGGACGTCGCCCTTGGGACGGGGACACCAGCACGAGAACGCTCACGAAACCACGTGACTGGGGCATAGCTTCTTCCTTTCAAACCCTCGGCTTCTGCCGGGCCGAAGCAGGCCTCGGGCTGAGCACACACCTCGCCAAACTTCAGACGGGGCGAGAAGCTAACAGGAGAGCCCGATGGAGGATGAAGAAACCAGGCTTCGCAAACAGCAAAACGTCTGCCCGTCTATGTCGACTCTTCGTTGTCTCCTTTATTACGAGGTTTTTTTTGCGGGGGTAGATAGGGTCATAACATTTTCTCACATCCCCTGGACTTTTAACTGCCCTTGAAACCACCCACAACTCATTTTTTAAGTACAGACAATGACTCTAAATGCTTTGACATCAGAAAGATGGAAATTCATCCAACAAACGAATGTTTACCGAACACACGCCAGGCACCAGGAACTTCTCAGGTGCTGGGGAGACACACAGCAGCCAAAACAGATGCCATGTCTACAGTGGGGACCTCACGCCCTCGCAACCTGCAGCCTTGGGTCAAACCCAGCCTGCTTTTGTATGGCCTACAAGCTAAGAACGGTTTTGAAGTTTCTAATAGTCAGGTGGGGGAAGAAATCGAAGAGAAATAGCTCATGGCATGAAAAAAGTATACGAAAGTCACATTTCTGTGTCGGTAAATATAAGTTTTATGGGGACGCAGGCACACTCACGCGTTTCTATACTTTTGTGCTTCAATGACGGAGCAGTCAGGACAGAGGAAGTCTGGCCTTCGAAGGCAAAAATAGTTACTCTGACTCTTCAGAAAACCATCCTCGTGGATAAGGCAGACCACACATACAGAAACAGATTAATATGCATTTCTGGTAGGATGGTGTCCAAAGAAAGAAAGGCGGAACGGGAGAGAGGGCGGCTGGAAGGGTGAACTGAGGCAGTGTGGTAAGGGCTGGCCTCCCTGAGCCGAGACCCGAATGACAAGGAGCCGCTGGGCAGAGGCACGAGGGACCGGCTTCTGGCAGCGGAAAGAGCAAGTGCAAAGGCCCTGAGGCAGGAAGACCGGGCCAAGGAGCTGGCTGGACCGAAGGGGCTGCAGGCACAGGAGGGAGCGACAGGACAGCGAGAGAGAGGGCGCCATGGAGGAAGAGCACGCGGGCCATGGGAAGGAGTCCAGAATTTGTTCCAGAGGTAAGAGGAGGCCACTGGAGGGTTCTGCGCAGGGGGAGGCATCTTTAAAGTTTCGCCAGGTCCCTGAGAGGGTAGGAGTAAAAACTGACAGTCAGAGCAACTTACCTAACCAACGAGACGCTGCCAGCACGGGCCGAGGCAAAGCAGGGAGTCCGCTCAGAAGCCAATTCATCCAACAACAATCGATTCACTGATCCAACAACAATCGATTCACTGATCCTCTCAGGCCTTAGTAATTGAGGTGCTACAAACTTTAAAAAATGTCTTAAATTCATTTCATTTGTGTAAAAAATACCTGTAACGAGCACACTAACAGTCCCGCGGCTTCACGAACATCATCGTTTAGGAAGAGACGAAGATTGAAAGAGGCACCTTAAAATCCAGAAAACCGTTCAACGAATCGACAGGAAGGAGTACAATGGCGAGAAGGGTGTGGAAACCTGGGCAGGGACCTGCCGGGGCCCATGAGCAAAGAACAGCTGGGAAGTCCCCCGCACCACGGACAAGGTCAGGGTCTGGCAGCATGGGCTCAGGTGGCACGGGTGTCTGAAAGGTCCTCTTCCGTAGGTATGGGGGGAGGGGAGGGGAGAGCTGCAGGCTGGGAAGGGCAAGGGAAAGGCGGAGTGACAGCTGGGAAGGACCCATACCAGGCTGAGGGCTATGGGCTGGACAGTTTGCAAATACGAGCCCCTCCCTATTAAAGACAGGAAGCGGGGAAGGGGACAAAGGGAACCCAAACTTGAGGTACATGGGGACACAGCCAGATATCAGACTGCTATGGGTTAAATGTTAAGTGAGAGGGTCTCACCTGGGGGTGACTGTGCTCCCCAGGGGACACTGGGCGATATCTGGGACAATGCGGTTATCACAACTGGGGGTCAGAGGGGTGCTGAAGACCCTAGTGGGGTAAAGGCCACCGCAGTGCCCAGGGCGGCCCTCCGCAGAGAACAACCCAGCCCACGTGCGGATAGGGATGAGGGGGACACCCTGGCAGAACCCGACAGCATCCCAGCAGTGATGAGCTGGCTCGCTGTTCCCGGCTCCCTGGAAGCCCACAAAGCACTCCAGAGCCTTTCATCCCCTGTGATCCTCGCAATGACGGGGCTGGGTGCTCATTATACCCATTTTACAGAGGGGAAAGCAAAGCCCAGAGACGTGAAGTGACCTGCCCCAGAGGAGGAACTGGAACACTCGGACTCAGAAGCCTGTGTGGGGCATGGGGAGGGGGAAAGGAAGGGAGCCGAGGACACAGGAATGCAGTCTAGGCTCAGCCCCTGCCTCAGCTGTCCCCACCCTCTACAAACGCGCAAGCACCCAGGGGCACCCAGGGGCACCCAGGTAGAGCCACAGCGCCGGGGGGCAGGGCTTTGGAGCAGAGTCAGAAACCCAGAAACCCCAGCGAAGTCAGGTGTGCAGAGCCCACGCAGTCCTACCTTCTGCCCGCAGTTCATTTGCTTCCCACCCCTGCACTCCCCTTGGGAAGGTGAGTGACTGCCCCATTTTGTTCTTGAGCAAGTGACTGGCCCAAGGTCACACAGCTCTGAAACGGCACTGCGGCTCTGGATCCAGATCTCGGGAAGAAAGCCAACTTGAAATGCTCATTTGCCTACACCTCGGTCCCTCCTCAGTCCCTGTCACCCATGACCTAATCCTTCCGGTTCCCTAAGCTGGCCGTGAGGGCTCTGGGCTCCATACCACCATAGTAGCTATGACCACATCCTGGGACTCCCCCTTCTCCTTTTCCCCCACTGGACCCAAAGCTCCCTGAAGTCAGAGACTCCCCAGAACCCGCCTCGGCACTCAAACGTCCCCAGTGTGCATCCTCACAGGTGTCAGATGGAACCACAGAACAGATGGGCTCCCCGGGGCGCAGGTTCCCCTGGGTGCGCCCGGGGAAGGGGGTGGGGCATAAGAAACCAGCAGAGGAGGCGGAGAGATGTGGGATCAAGTACAGGGAGGGGGGGCGGAGTGGGGGATGGAGGGACAAGGAGGGTCCTTGACCAGCCCCGAGGGCTCCTGCAGAAAGGTACACAGACTGAGAAGGGGTCTTCTCTAGGAGACGGAAAAGTAGAACAAAGGCGGGGCGGAGTCCCAAACAGCCCATCAGCAATACCTTCAAGCCCTAACGTTTAATGGCTCCTTAGCAGCCCACTCTCTCCTAAGCTGCCCGCTCCAAAAAGGCCAAGATTAGAAATTCAAGAAACTCAATTGTTACTAAGTAAGATCTGTATACAGTCTCAACTACACATTCGCACACACATGCACAAGGCACCCACACAGTAGCCGCGTGCACACCACGTACGTACACCACCTGGGAGCATCTGTGCTCCCGCACCTCCAATCATCCCTCTGCCGCCCCCACTCGGTGACCTCCCCCAGAGCATGGCGTTCTGACCATCACCGCGTCCCTTGCACTGGAAGCACCAAGATCTGCCAAGCGCCCAATCAGAAGTACAGAAAGAGGGCCAGCGAGTTTCAGAAACCCTCGACTCATATAATCACAAGCTGACTCTGAGACATTTACACTGCCTTTCTGGCTCCAAAAAACAAACTGCAGAGACCAGAGAGGCTGCCCACTGCAGCTCCAAGGGTGGCAAGAAAAGGCTGACCAGAGAGCTGACAAACCCTCCCCCTGCCTCATAAGGAAGCTATTACTTGAGAATTAGGGAGAGTCATTAGCTTTGCACAGCCACGATAAAAGCCCATAGGAGTCATCTAATGAGCCTGTTTTAGGGGCTTTCTCCAGCTTGGGGACAGCCAGATAAATAGCTGTTGAGGCAGAGGAGCGGGACAGGTATCCTCAGACCTTAAGACAGTGCCAGCACCCAGTGAGACCCAAAGGAGCTTGCTGAATAAACGTCACTGACAGAAACACGTGGAAAAGGACACAGTCTTTACACGTTACAGGACCTTTGGGCTCCAGTGAACAGAACCCTCTTCTCACGAGTTTCATAACTCAGGAAACAGTTCCCCAGGTGCACCTGAATTACTAAAACAAAAGCATCTTCCCCCACCAAACAGATGGGACACACCGGAGCACAGTCTAAGCCTCCCCCGCCCCCAGGGGGGTAAAAAAAAGAAACAACAACTGTAAAACCATCCACCATGCTCAGGTGGACGTGCACCTCAAACCCCTGGTGTCACTGCACCCACGGGGTACAAACATAAGCCCTTGCGCACCCGGGGGCAGGTCCCTTTCAGAAGAAATCTGTCCCCTCGCTCCCACGGGGGTAGTTAGGGGACAGCCCAAGGGGGTCGCTGCAGGAGCGACTCCACGATTTATTGCTAGAGAAGGGGGGCTTCGAGGTGGCGATGGGGCTGAGAAGGGGAAGGGCTGGGGAAACGCGTGTGGAAGCTGTTATATGCATAGCAAGTGGATACAT